TAAAAAGTTGATATCTTAGAACTCTATGAGAAGAAAAACAATTTTTGTCTCTTGCTGTTTTTCTTTAAATTAAAGTTGATAGTACTTAAGTAAATTATTAAAAATCAATATTTCGTGATTCTTAGTAATTGATACCCCTCAAAAGTTAGCTATGGACCTCAATATAATCTGGGTAAAATTTCATCAAAGTCGATTAATATCTTCAGGTTGCTCCTCGATTTTGAAGTTAGTAAGTTTACGCATTTAGATACATGTGTCAAAATTCGAAAAAATATTTGAATTTTATTTATATTTCAATTCATATCAAACCTGATGAAGCCTAATCAAACCAGGGTAAAATTGTACATAAAATAATATTTCTGAGCAAGAGGAAAATTTAATGCCAAATTGTAATTACATTTATTAATATTTATTTATTTATATTAAATACAATTTAATTCTTGCATTATGTACTACATACACATAATACTAGTGATAATTCGCTAGGAGTTTACGTTTTAAAGTAATCTTTTGATTTAAACTCTAGCATAATTTTTCGCCTTTCTAATGTCGTCCTAATTATACCTTCAAATCAAACCAGGGTATGTGCATAAAATAATATTTCAGAGCAATAGAAAAATTAATAAATTATAATTACATTTATTAATATTTATTTATTAATATTTGTTTGTATGTACATTTACTAAATACAATGTTCTTGCATTATGTACTACATAAACATAATACTAGTGATGACTCCCCAGGAGTTTACGTTTTAAAGTAATCTTTTGATTAAAGTAATCTTTTAAACTCTAGCATAACACAGGCCTGCAAAATTAGAGGTGTTGAAAGTTGATTGGGATTTAACTATGTTTTCTTACGTAATTTTTCGCGCTGAATCCGAATCCGGCGGCAGAATTGCTCTATCACGTCAGGTTTTTGAGAAAAGTGAGGTTAAAGGTGTCAAAATTGACGTTTTTTGACATATTTGTGATTTTTTTGCTAGCGAAGTAAATTTTTTTTCTACTTTCGTTTACGCCATCTGAAAGTGTCAACATTTATCTTCAAAATATATTTTTTTTAACGCCGTACGTTTTTTTTTCACCGAGATAATCTCTGTGTAGTCACACAAAGAAAAACATTTTTGACACAAAATGTTTGTGTGATTACGCAGAGATTAACTATGTTTTCTTACGTAATTTTTCGCGCTGAATCCGAATTCGGCTGCAGAATTGCTCTATCACGTCGAGATTTCGAGAAATCTTAACCCAAAACAGCCAAATAAGCCATTTTCAGCCATATTTGAAATTCAGTTAAAAATGATAAAATTTTTGTCGTCTAATCCATCGATGGTATCATTTACTACTATACAGCCCCTTCAAAATCCATTTTGGACCGTCCCAAAGCGATTTTTTTTCCGGAGATATAGCAATTCGAATTTCGATAAATTGTATCTCGTAGAAGCCTAATCTTTATACCGTTGTATTAGAACAAACGGTATTTCTGGACAGATTAGCTTATTCTTTTATCTTTAGTCATCCACCTTGTCTTCATTGGCCGGGGAGTCATCCACCTTGTCTTCATAGGCCGGGGAGTCACCAACTTTGCCTTACAGATTAGGCGTCTACGAGATACAATTTATCGAAATTCGAATTGCTATATCTCCTGAAAAAAAATCGCTTTGGGACAGTCCGAAATGGATTTTGAAGGGGCTGTATAGTAGTAAATGATACCATCGATGGATTAGACAAAAATTTTATCAATTTTTAATTGAATTTCAAATATGGCTGAAAATGGCTTTTTTT